TCCTGTTAAAGGAACAGTTCACCTCCTCCTGCAGGAGGATCCAGTTAATGAACAGTTCACCTCCTCCTGCAGGAGGATCCAGTTAATGAACAGTTCACCTCCTCCTGCAGGAGGATCCAGTTAATGAACAGTTCACCTCCTCCTGCAGGAGGATCTTGTTTCATTACTCACTGATCAAAATTTTAATACCAGTTGAAAAAAGGCAATAATTCACATTTTGCACGTTTGGATCTAAATAGTGTTTGAACTGGAAAAATAAGAAATGGAATATTTATTTCATTGCAAGTATTAAACAGAAATAGGCTATTCTTCAGCTGATCAGGACTTTAGGACTATATCTTAAGCTCAAAATCCCCTCAATTATAAGTAAAACGTGATACAAAGTAGTCAGTAATATGTCGTTGCCCCGTTCTTGTTAATTACCTCAAAAATTTAGTTTTGGCATGCTTGATGCGAGCATTTCCAAGAAGCTAGAGAGAATGTTGCTCTGAGTGTTGAGGATGGCTTCACGGAGGACATCCACTGTCTGGAACTGGTGTCCATTTTTGTAAACTTCTAAAAATGCCGGTGCAGCTCATTTAACTACAACAATTCATGAGGAAAAAAACTAAAACACAAAGTTGTGATAAATCAGAACAGTTTGTTTAATGTTCGATTCCCGGTTCTTTCTCAGTTCCTTAAAAAAACTCGTTGGGTAAAAATGTTTCCAAACATACTCAGTATTTATGATAAAACAAGAAATAACAGTTAGATATGAATGTGATTTACAGAACTATGATTAAGTTTAAAGTGATTTTGATTATTTAAAGTTATATCTTACTGGAGAAAGCAGTAAAGTTTTGACTAGGTGAAAATTATATTTTCTTTTTTGGGATGGATGTAAATAAAAAAAGCAAAACTAAAAAAAAAGATGAACACAACTTTTGCAAAGGTGTAAAAGTATGAAGTGAGGTCCCAACTTAATCAGACAAGTTAATATGAAACTTCAAGGATCAAATCATGATGCTGTAAACAGAACATGCACTCTTATTGGTTCACACAAAAACTGTAGCACAAGATCAGTGAAAAACTCTCCAATATACAATCTCAACATATTTATATATCCACACTGGAAGAGGCTCAAACCACAGACTCAAATATGAGCTCTTATTACTGAGGAGCTCCAACCCTGTAATTAGAAAAAAAAAGAGATGAAGTCCAAACATCTGTTCTTCTCTGGAGTTTGTGTCCGTCTGCAGTCAGTGTCATCGTTTCATGTTGCTCAGTCGCACTTCTTTCTCTAGCTGGAACTGACGGTGGTCGACACGCTCTAAGAAGTTCTTCCGCTCCACGTACCTAAACACAAACACACGAGAGAACATTAGACTCATCTTATACCACAAATACAGTCTATCTTGTCCACAGACATTGATAAGTAAACTGTTTTACTTTAGGATGTTAAAATAAAAATCGCTCCTGTTTCAAGCAGACATTGAGGAGGATGTTGGTACGGGAGGCATCCATTGCTCTGATTTAATTATCAAATCTAAGCAATGGTCCCCAAAGTTCTTCTCCAAGTCCAGAAAACATGTAGAGTGTCTCAATACAGGGTTGAGTCTACAGAGGACATACATTTGTGTGATCATGCATTACCCTGTGATACATTTTATATCACTTCAGACTTAAAGGGGGGTATTATACATGATTGATTTTTTGAGCTTTAAATCATGTTATAATTCCCACATCAGTAACATACCCAGAGTGTTGCTTTGACTCATTCATGTTTGAGAAATCCTTGAATCTCCTGTGGCCATGTGGAGCTGACTAAACACCTGCTGGTACAAAGCTCCACCCATTTACACAAAGCTCCTCCCTGGAGCTCAGTCTGCAGCCGAGCTCCCGCCCCACAGAGCACCCCTCCCCAGAAGCACTGTTGTGAAGACATGCTGAAGTGGGAGTGTTGGAAATGGTAGGAGGTTCTTAAAGAGACAGAGCTCAATTTAGACTAGGATGCAAAATCAAATTTATTTTTCTTATATGCAACTGAAGGTAACATTTACCAAATTATGTGCCTAGAAAATACATACCCCCCCCCCCCCCCAAGTGCATTGGGACATGTATTAACACATCTTCAGTGGAGTAATAACTTCACAATTTTTTAATTGCATTACATTATCCGTAAATAAACAAAGAACAATAATTTGGGTTGAGCTATATCAAAAGTACTCATAGTTGCATTTTATTTAACATCTCATTGCAGCATGGATTTTGTCAGCTAAAATGCTAAATTTACATTTAAAAACTAATTCACCAGTCTGTGAAGAATTTCCAAACTACACCGACTTGGCAAAAAAAAAAAAAATCAACTGTCTTTGTTTTTCGGTTTAGTTTGCTGATGGTGCAATGAATCCTGGGATATCCTTGGCCAGGAAATATACTCGCATGTAGCCTTCATTGTTGGGGCTTTGTGGGCCACATTTGTTGGCCGCAAAAGAAGGAGCCCACAAACTGGGACAACCTTTGGTGCGGGGCAGTGACGTAAGCGGACGACAAATGCAGACTACGAAGGACGCAGCCCCTAAATTCAGACACAGCCGTGGACTTGTGGACCCTAGTGAGGGTTAAGAGCTGGTCCAGTGCTCCACAGCCAGAACAGACTTGACATGTTTCTCCCTGAATCCAAAGTTTGACCATAGTTTGGACTCGCTTCTTCTGCAACCCTAGATAGACCTTACCGGGGAGGCTGAAGCTAGCTATAAAGTCAATAGTGATGCAATCGCACCATCCCCGCCCCTGTACGGTGTCCTGGCGCATGATCACGCACTTTTGAAATTTTCTAACTCTTCATATACTTTGTCTGCCAAGCTTTACAACATTTTCATAAGTTATAAAGTGTACTGACACATGTCCTAAGTACAAACAACACACAGCTGGCGAGGGTGTGTGTGTCCTGCGTGACTACCCGAAGCAGGACTGTAACCCAGCCTTGAGGAAGGTGACGCACCAATAGTTGGAACAGGCCTTTCTAAAGAAAGAAACCACCAATCCACATTTGTGCCAGTTAACTTTGTTATGGGAAACCAACAGGCCAACTCTGACTATTTTCTTTTTTAAAAAAGGTTTCAGAGTTTTGAAGTAGTTGTCAAAATTATCATAGTTTGTTTAGACTGTTATTGAGCATGATAACAGTGTGCTAAATGACTATATTCATACTGATCATTCCAACTACAGATCAGCAGGGTTCAAACACTGTTGATGGGGCTGATTCAGCTGCACATCAGCTTTAAAAATAATTAGACTTGTATCTTAGTTGTCAAAAACCCTTACTAATGCACTGGTATGCATGTGTAGTTTGTGTAATCAAGCTTCTGATCCAGTGTGCAGACATGTCTGTTTATAATCCTGTGCTGCTGCCATCAGCAGGAAGTTTAGGTTTCACACTGCTGAGACATCTACAGAGTGTCACGCTGCAAAGGGATTTAAATATCTCTGTGGGTAATTGCAGACCATTTTCCCATCACTAACAAATCACAGATGTAGTTAAAGCAACGCTCTGACTGCAGCAGCCTAACTGCTGACTCGTTTTTATTCAAGATTACTGCATTCTGCTGCAAAACAAAAAGGAGCAGTGTCTTCTTGTCTGACTCACTTGTCGGTGGTGGGCAATAAAAACATAAGTCAACAACTGATGAGGCAGTGAAAAACGAGTAAACTCGTGCGACGGAACTGTGCACCTCTGTGAATCACAGGAAAAGTTGAGAACCACTGCAAACATCACAGTTTGGGGTATTTCATATAGGAGACCTCTTCATGAAAGCTGCCACAGCTCAGTGAGATCCCACCTTCAGCCGCAAGTAGTTAGTTGTATTTAATAGAGGGGAACCCCTCGAATTTTCTAATTAGTAAAAATTACGTGTTTAAAAAAATGTTTTGGTAGTTACAAGCAGAAGTTTATGACCTGGCTCCCTGACGTCTGACACCCAAAACAAAGTTTGCAACAAGTTATGAGAGTCAAAGATTGGGTCCGAATTCAGGGGCTGCATCCTTCGAAGGCTGAATTTGAAGGCTGATTGCATCACAGAGATGCACAGTATAAAGCAGTTGTGTTGTTGAAGTTTGGTCATTTGCATTGACATGTTTTTAATATTATTCTTGTCAGAAATCATCATAAACAAGCTCATATGGCAAGTCCCTTAATTCTTCATATACTGCCTCTAAGCTAATTCTGTTCATTTATAATATTAATATTTTGCCAATTTTGATCTAGTTTTGAACGTCATTACTTCTGTTTAGTGCTTTGTGATTGCTACGTGACAGGACACACACCAGGGTAAGAGTGGGAATAAAGCTGAAGGCTAGACCCTTCAAATTCCCAGACACGCTCTGGTTTTTGTGGTTGACAAAGGATCCGGGCCACGTTGACCGGGTCCCTGAAGGACGCAGCCCCTGAATTTGAACACAGCCAAAGTGTGTCTCAGTCTAATAAAAAGGTTACTCTAACACTTTTTCTATTATACAACATTTTGAGCTGCCTGCGGATTTTAACAGTAAGTGGGAAATTTCCATATCCCAGTACAACTGGAGTGACGTGGATCTGTGCCTCAGTTACTCAGAACTAAATAATTTCCTAAATTACAACATGTAGTAGTTATAATAATCAATATTATTCATTTTAAATCAGCTAATTCTAAGGAAGAATTAAAGTTCAAGCTACTCAAAGAATAATTCAGTAAAAGCCTTTCAGTTTCAATAAACGCTTGTTTCTGAATGTTCACCAATAATCTTGTGTTACTTTCTACACAGTGACCCACCCTGACCCATGCAAAATAAGATTATGTGACTTTTTAAATCTCATGTTTCAGTGAAACCTGGATGTTTTCACCAACGTTCCCACAGCCAGACTGAATCTCTTACCCCTCTTTCCCTCTGTTGTGGATGGCCAGCTCCTCCGTGATGCCTTCTTCTGTTTTAAAAGCATCCCAGTCCATCTTTGACTTCTCCAGCGTGCTCATCTTTTGTTTCTTCCCACCGATCCGGCCCAAGATGCTGGACATGCCTGCAGGACGCTTAACACTGCAACAAGACGAAAAACAGCTGACATGAGTGCGCATACACACGCACGCACGCACGCACGCACACACTCACACACAGCAGAATCTTTACAATACAAGTGGATCAGACCTGATTATTGGACTTCTGAAGTTTTCCCAAGTGACTGACACAGTGCTACACAGCAGCTCCTCTCTGCTTGATCTGTTGGTTCAGGTTGGAACCATCAGTTATTTACAGTAAAGCTGATTTTCAAAATCACCTGCATTGTTTCCAGAGGTCTTCAGACCCGCTGTCCTGCATGTTTTAATGTTTTCCTGCTTCAACAAACCTGACTCAAAACAATTCAATGACCTACTCAGGACGTCATCAGGTTTAGCAGAAGCCTGTTAATTACTCATTATTTTTCAGTCAGATGTGTTGAAGCAGGGAAAAAGTTAAGGCCCGTGGGCCAAATGTGGCCCGCCACAGCATTTTATCTGGCCCGCGAGAGCTTAAAAATGTTTAGTCTAAAATTAAGCTGTTTTACACTGCAAAACATGTCCACCTAACCAAGTTTTAAAATCTTATATCCAGCCAAAAAAGTCTTTTTGATCTTGTTTTGAGACTGATTTACTAAACAAGAACTGATTGTGTAAGAATAATAATCTTTTTTTCAGAATATGTAAGATTATTTGTCTTGTTAGTCTGAAAATTTGACTCAAATTAAGTCAAAATATCTGCAAATGGAGTAAGAAAATTTACTTGGTAAGATTCTTGAAATACTTGATTTGATTCAATTTTTTCTTATTTCAAGAATCTTACCAAGTAAATTTTCTTACTCCATTGGCAGAAATTTTGACTTAATTTGAGTCAAATTTTCAGACTTACAAGACAAATAATCTTACACATTCTGAAAAACAAGATTATTATTCTTACATAATCAGTTCTTGTTTAGTAAATCAGTCTCAAAACAAGAACAAAAAAACTTTTTGGCTGGATATAAGATTTTAAAACTTGGTAAGATGGACAGTTTTTGCAGTGTAAAGCCAGCATTGACCATAAACTACACCTGCCATAATGCATCTCATGTTTTTACCTGCCAAATGATGGCATCCCACCACTACAGGGAGGTGCACAGGATTCAAAATCACCAAAATTCGCTGTGAAAATTCATTTAGCTGCATTTTTGCCAGCTACTTTTGCTGTGGCCCAGTTGTACTTGGAGGTGGGAATTTCCCACTTACAAGTTAAAAATTTAAACAGTGGGAATTCCCTGTTGAAAGGTGGGAGAACCCAGATCAGTTATTTAAATGGATGTCTTAAAGAGTCTTAAACTCCAAGCATGTCTTACAGACATAAAAACATGGATGACTCTTAACTTTCTGCTTCTAAACTCTGATAAGACAGAGGTTATGGTTTTTGGACCTGAACATCTTAGGGATCAACTTTGCAGCCTTTCACCTCCTCTGGATGGCATTAATCTGGCCTCCAGTTCTAATGTAAAGAACCTTGGTGTTATTTTTGATCAGGATATGTCTTTTAACCCCCACATTAAAAATGTTACCAGGACTGCCTTCTTCCACCTGCGTAATTTTACTAAAATTAGAAACATCCTGTCCAAAAATGATGCAGAAAAACTGATCTATGTGTTTATTACGTCTAGGCTGGATTACTGTAATTCTTTATTATCTGGCATCCAAAAAACTCTTTAAGAAGATTTTCTGTTTTAACCACAGAGATGCTAAACAATCCATGATGGAGTCACACTCAGAGAAGAGAGAAACTGCATTTCAAATTAGATACTCTACATCCAACTAATCATTTTGTGAAAGCATAATGCCATTTCACTGCAGATGAGCCTTGTAATTTACTGCTGTGTGACTGCACACAGACATTATAAATTGCTGTCAACCATTTAAACAGCAGTCATTTTGGTTTTTCCAAAATTAAATCCGGCTATGAGAACTTGACGGTAACGCTCAGATCACAGACTGTGTTGCTTGGCTTGCTTAACCCAAGGCAAAAAAATAAAAAATTAAACCATTACACCCTAACTTAAACATGTCATGTTTCTAAAAAAAAAGTCATCAAACAGGTTCATCTGTCCAAAAAACTGCCATTTTAAAAAACACAAAATTAAAACAAATGTGATCAACCCATAGAGTAATACAAGACAACAGTCTTATTTCTATGGTACAGCTGGGACGCTGTGCAAAAATGTAAATAAAATAAAAACATCTCAAACTGGGATACAGTAAACACATCAAATGTTCAGACAACGTTTATGTAAAACAGTCGTTTGAATTTGATGGTAGTAACACAAGTCAAAAACAGACCATTGATCATTAGAACCAGTAGACTGGCTCCACTGGCTCTTCACTGCTGAACCAACTCTCCCCAACCACAACCTACAGCATGCCAAACATAATCATTTAAATCTCACAAATTTTTTTTCATTCAAGAGACTGCAAGAAACAAATTTGGAACATTTGATACTGCACTTTTTTCTGGCTTTAAAACTCACCAAAGAACCGTCTGCTCTGTAGAGGGTATTTAAACAGCTAACTTACCCTTACGCCAATGAAGTCTGGTAACTCAGTAATAATTGTCCTATTGGACCTAGCAGCTGCTTTGGACACCATGGACCTAGGGCTGCGTGGTACATGCGGTAGACCAGGCATCACCAAATGGCGGACCTAGGTCCGAATCCGGACAGAGTGTTGGTTCTGTCCAGACCCATGCCCTATCTGATAAATTCACAAAATTATATAATATTCATGGAGCATTTTTTCCCCAGCGAAAGCCAAGCAGAGACACAGTTAGGAAGTTTAGTGGTTACATCTACTACAGTTATTATGGTAACTGTGTTGAGCAAATCAAATTGTTTGTTTACCCTGCATGACCAATGCAGTGAGCTAACCAGAGAAGAGGTGACAACATGGCTTGCTCCAAGATAAGAAAAGTTGATGCAGAAAACCGCTGTTTTAAAGATGAATGGACAGAGAAATTTATGTTCATTCTTCCAGCAGGCAGTTCAAATCCTGTTTGTCTCATATGCTCTGAAACGGTCGCATTAATTAAGTGCCAATGTGAAGCGCCACTATGAAACGAAGCACGGCTCTTTGGAGCAAAGTTATCCGCTGAAGTCCGAGCAGAGAGCATGCAAATTAACTTGCACTTTAACTGAAAGCCTCCATCTCTCTAGGTTTGACCAGGTTTTGATATGAAAGCAAAAAAAAGGTTATTAGGATCTGTTTGCACTTCTAAAATGTACTTTGTTCTGAGGTTTCAGTTTTCTGAAAAAAAGGTTTTAAAATTATTTGCCTGGGACTAATTTTAAATATGGAAAAATAAAAAATTGTTTACTATAAAGTGCTGTTTGTTAATAGTGAAAATATGAACATATCAGATCAAGACCATAAAGACAAAAATCGGACTTTTGTTCGGACCTTTTACTAGGCGGAAAGTTTAGCAACTGGACCTCAGTGACTTTTAATTGAATACCCCTGTGGTAGATGGTTGAAACGGTATGAAGTTGGCCTACGGAAGAAACTTACCCTCTACTGTCCTGTCATCAGTTACATCATCGCACCTGTGTCAACATACGAGTGCAGAGACAACTAAGCAGGAGGAGTTTGAAATATAATGAAGAAATTATAGCATTTTAAAATGCGTAAAAAGAATAAATCCTCAAAATTTCCCTCTCCCGCTGTGGAAAAGTTACGTCGGGATCACCCCCGACTGTCCAGGTGAGCAGCAGCCCATAAGTTCAGCAGGCAGAAGCTCATTGTATGACAGGCAGATATTAAAGCAAAAATGCTGGGTTTGATTATGATTACAGTTTTCTGCAAAAAAAAAGCTCCAAAAATTACATTATCTTTACTTTTTATGATAGTTTTCTACTGCGATATACTGTATACTGTTACCATAAAGAGATTCAATATACCGTGTGTAACTGACAGTAAATTCATTTAAAAAGCAATTTGCATTGTGTGGATTGTTTATAAATGTTGTCTGTTTTTCATGTACACTGTGTTGGTTGTTTATAAATGTTTGTTTTGTTTTGATTCATAATATATGCATTTTTTAATGTGTTTTCTTTTTGTTTTGTTTGTACCTCATGGGATGCCACAACAAAGATAGGCTGGCCTTATAAAAACTGGCAGTAATTAGTTCTAATGAATGGCTGGAAAGCAACTGACAGCAGGACTTGAAATGTTTGCTGTTAAAGAAACAAACATCTTATGCTTTGCATTCCCCTGGTGAAAGCAGCGAGGTACGTTTTGTTTATTTCACTTGTTTGTGAGCCCATGTTCTTATTTTAATGTTTGTATACATGTTTGTTTGAGTTTTCACGGTGATCATGATGGTGATTGTGATGATCCTGGTGATTTGGTGATAATGGAGCACCAGATGAAAAATAGAAAAGGTTAAAATCACTCGTCGAGTTTGCACTGAACTTTGTCAAGAACTGGGGGGCTGCTACACTGTGGTATGAATTTGAGGTCATACCGCCCAGGCCTACATGGACCATAACATCCTCAATTGGGTTGCGCAGAGGTGGGGGCATTACATAGTCAGTGCTCCATTGGTTTAGATCCTACCTTTCTGGTAAGTTTTTTTTTGTGTTGACATCAATGATTTTGTTACAGCTTCTATGGATCTCCTGTGGGGGTACAGCAGGGTTCCATACTTGGACCTCTTCTTTTTTTAATACCTCCTGCAATTAGGGGGCTTTGTAGAAATTACATTCCTTTTAATTTTATGCAGACAACTGTCAGCTACAGTGGTTTGCAAAAGTATTCATACCCCTTGAACTTTTCCATATTTTGTCACATTACAACCACAAACATAAATATATTTCACTGGAAT